ACGTCAGCCTGAACTTCAGTTGGTTATACACGTATTATGGCTGACCTCCAAATCCTGCGTCACACCGTACCAGAGATCAACCGCCTGATAGAACGGGTCATCTCCTTCATAAAAAGTCCGGCCCTCAGTATTAAACTCGTCCGAAAACTGGATGATAGATATCAGTGTTTCGTCCAATGAGATGACAGAAAACAAAAGATAGGACCCTCAGCTTACTACAAGCGTCCACTCCTTCCCATCTGCAGCAATCTTGGTTTTGGCGGAATTTGGCGTGTCCGGATCTATCAAGCCTCTTCGTATGTTCGACAGCAACGGGCGTTCCCCTACTTCTAGACAGAGCGTATCACCCGAGCTACATTTGGGCCGAGATTTATCCAGCATGCCTTTCACCGCCGTTCTAAGAAGCCATTGTGGTCAGTTGATGCATTTGAGCGGTATCGACGGGAGAAATCAAAACATACATCACGGGATAACCAATGAACAGTGCCAGAAAACCTAAAGTCAGCAGTACTAGGCCCGTCACATTCATGATACCGCGGCGATTCCACAAGTCGCATTGTCCTTCTTTATCGTTGGGATCTGGGTTATGCAGGTAGTCGTCCTTTTCCTCCGGCTCAGGAAAGAGCAGCAAGCCGTCCGTGGGCGTGATGTTGTACTTTTCGGCAACTGTCTGCGTGTTCACATCATTTTCATCGCTATCTGCCCGGGATGGGGCGCGTGAATCTTCACATAGGCTGTAAGGATATCCCCTCGTATCGTAACTTCCTGCCTCTGAGCTCCAGCTCGTTCGCCTTGACGAACGTATTGAAGCTGCTGGTGATCGGTATGGTTCGTACTCTTCCTTGAAACGACGTGGGCGCGGTGGTAGCAGAAATTCAGATGAATCTTGCAGATCGGAGGACCCGTATACTGTGTGTAATGTCCCAGCAGACGGTGAAAGGGCCACACCTGGTATCAAAGCTCGCCCAATTTGATGACTGGGCACTCTCGGTAAGCGGTCATCTGAATCGGTAATGGGCTCATGTTGGCCGGAGTTAATTCGGATTTGAATGCGAGGGACATCCTTAGCGCTATGCGTTGAGGAGCTGTCGGACATTCTGACGTAGTCCGAATACTCTCTCTAAGGATCTATGAACCTGTGTGGAGGCCGGTGCGAGAGACAAGTCGCCGCTGACGCTTTGCCGACAGTTCGCTGGTAGATTGGCTGTATGTTTATCACCACAGAATGATTCCTGGCCAGCCGTACCAATCCGTGTTCCACCTCCTGCTCCAACCTACTAGTCGCTCTCTCGATCCTTTCGATTGCGTTATCCGAGGATCATTGCCAGAAGATCCGCTCTCACAAATTCTGTGGCTTCAGGAGCCGGAAGTGTACATTCAACCTTTCCAAGTCGGTAGATCGAGTCGATATTTGGTACCCTCAGATACCTGGCCTGCGCGGAATGACTGACAGCTGAATCGTGACACCGATGGTGTACCGGTGTTGGAAGAGTGTTGGACAACGGAAATAAAGATAATACTCACTTGTTACTTTCTTGAGAAAGTAAGCTCAAATAGAAAGTATTGAGAGAGACAAAGAGGGACAGAGTGACTGGAGAACTTGAGATGGGAGTGGGTGTAAACAATGGGGGAAGGCCGATAGAAGGTGTCACACCAAGAATTACAGAAAAAGAGGGGGAATGATCAAAAGCAAGTGTGAGAGAGACAGCGAAACAATGTATTGCAACTATTCAATAAGTGAAGGTTCTTGGGGGATCAGAAAGGGATAGCAGAGCAGGTTTGCAGTTCTGTTTGCCCAGTTGTCCCTACATAAGAATCAAGTTCCCTCTTCCTTGTTCTTCTAGCAGGTTAACGATCAAGGGATCCATATTCCATGAGGACGAACCTCGAAATACTTTGCATTCATTGGTAGTAATAACAACAGCGCCGAAACAAGCATAGCAACTCTAAGCACTGAGGCAATCCGCCATGGTTACCAAGGGTCACCCTCCCATCCAGGAATGCTCTCGTTTAGGAGGGGCGATGCTTGGGAGTACTAGCCGGCATTGAAGACCCACCATCCTTGACTGAGGTCTTTGATATCCTGCAGACCGGTTCGAATAGCTGGTGGCTGTATGATGGCCGAGAACATCGGAGGCGAGTGTATGCCGTACAGCTAGTAATCAGTTAATGATATCGATCCATATAGTCATGGACTCCATTCTGAGAGCAAGGTTGGCTGCAAAGACGTTCAAGTGCAAAATAAAGGAGCCAAAGGACAGAAATTAGACTACAGAGAGTGGTTGCTAGCCAGGGTCGCTCTGGAATGGAGGATGAAGTTAAGGGAATTCCACGGCAACAGGGAAGAAAAGGTATGTGCATAATCAAGGTAACTAATGTGCCTGTAGACATGTGGGCCTCAGTCCATGAATCAGGCACACAGCAGCTAAGCCGTTTGGGGTTAGTTTGTTGATCGTTTTGGATGCTGTTCAAGCACCAAGGACAAGCAAAGAATTAGATACATATAACCACCAAGAGTCATCCGCGTTAATATGTGATGAGATTTTATCTCGAGTCAACCCAGTTCATTCCCTGGTGGTACTCTTTCCCGCTGATGACTTCGCTGAATTAATTAACACCGGAACGAGGCAGACAAGCCATCCTCTACTCCGTACATACCCCCTAGCGCAGCAACGACAACGACAACAATGGAGCCAAGGACAATCTGTCTCAAGTCAATGGCAGTAAAGGTCTATATACTTATTGGTTTTTGGAATCCAGATGCTGAGATCAATTCCAGCTGGATTCCCGATGTCTCAATCAGACATGTAATATCACACATGACAGCCTAAAACAGGGCCATTCCAGAACACGCGTCCTTTTCTGCAGTTGTGAATCTTGACTGCTACTTGCAGGGTAATGATATGCATCAATGTTTTCATTAGGTGGCTCAGTCATAATATGTCAACTATCAACTCTTCTATAATAGCCAGTGAAGGCCAGAGAAAGCTGCCGATAAGCTATCACGGTATCTACCAAATGGACAGTCCGTCGTCATGTTTATCCTCGTTCCTCCAACAAGACAGACACATACCAATATTGTGCCATTCCAACTGGGTCAAAAGTCAGTCAGCTTCCTGAAACGTGCGTCCTAGCAGGCACTCATGAGCTTGTCAACTGTGATTATGCTGCTCATCGGCCAAGTTGGCGTTAGATACTTGCTTAGAGCCCGGCACATAGATTGCCCTACAACTTCACTTACCACATTACGCTCGTTTGGATCGTCGATGCGTAGCTCTATGTATTCTATCTCTTCTTCAGTATATCAGGTTATCCATGAGGACGCCAGTAGTTAAGAATTTGGACGAAGACCAGCCTTCTCTGAGAACTATTAGCCGAAGCTTGTTGGCTTGTATAAGGCAAACGAAAGCACACTGAGTGTAGAATGACATATGTGCATACAAATCCGCATAATAATCATAATGTTTGCAGATCAATAGCTCGCACGCAGAACTTGGTCGACGTGGTTGCCGTTATGGTTACCTTATTATTTCGTGACATGCAAGAGAGAATATATATTTATGGCGTATTGTACAGTGAACTTCGGGAACGCCAGAACTAAAGAGCTCAAACTATCTTAGATATATATCACGTTAATCGTCATCTGGCTATATTAATTACAAGATCACAGCTGATCGAACGCTCAGACCAGAGAGGGAAAAGAAATGCAAGCTAAGACTCGATCGCCTTCGCCCTCAGTCCCACGATAGTCCCTCCCTCAGCATCCAAACTCAAAATATAATACTGAACGCGCGATTTGCCAACTTCCACCCGGTACACCTTAACCTCTACATCCGATTCATCAATGCCAGGCTCGCCACCACCAAAAGCCTGCGCGACCGCGGCCCGCACCGCACGCAGAGCAGCCGAGTACTGGTTCTTAGGATCAAAGGTCGAAGGCGTCAAGGTCTCAATGGACGAGGAGAGGTCAGCGTCAGGAGAGATGAGTCTCGAGAATTCGGCTGTGCATAAGGCCGCGTTAGCAAATGCACTTTGTATCAGGCAGTCCGACTCTTCATCGGGATACACGAACCAGGACCGGGCCAAGTCCCCTTATTCGCGCCCTCCCATCTCAATGTTACCGGCTCAAAGGGCTCGTCTGTCTCGGAGATGTAGTACGCATCCACTGATCTGAGTGGAGCGGGGATCTGGACGCCAACATCGACGGTTTCCGTGCGCACGCCGGACGACTGCTGAGTTTGTTGTGCTCGAGCGTTATTAAGGTCTGCGTTGGCCTTATCCAGGAACGACATGTAAGCGTCATCTGAAGACATGGCTCGAGAGATGATGGGTTTGCGGCGAGGGTTCGGTGATGGGATGCTGTAGTGGGTTTGGTGGGACGAAACGAGGAGTATCTGATTCCGCGGAGAAGTTCGAATACGCAAGTGGGGATATGAGTGACAACGAGAGGTAACAGTAAAGCTTCGAGACTTTAAAATCAGAGAGGGGGGAGAGAGGGCAGCCCGATTTGGTGATGCAGTTGAAGTTGAAGCCCAAACCAGGTTGCGATTAATGACGCAATAGACCGTGCGGCTCAGCTGCCACCGACGCATGGGTGCTTCAACAAACGGCCACTGCCTCTTAGAATCGACAATTGGATAAAAATATGTAAGTAGACTGCAAAATGTCACATGGCAGGAATGACGAAGTTTCGTCAGCAGCAAATGAGACCTAGGAGAAGACAAAGGAATTCCAGGAGAGATTTCGGCAGGCGCAAACTTTTATCCTAAGCCCTTGGGTTACAACTCTTTTACACATATGGTAATTTTGGAGGGTACACTACTTGATCGCCTTGTGAAGACTATCTTCTTTGGAACATCATCATATTACCTTAAGCTACATGAGTACTTGGAAACAGGCATCACTGATCATTCAGCGGAAGGCGTAGGCTTTGAAGGTATTGTTCGCTTTTTTATTGAAAAAAGTAAGAAGCTGCACTACACCAAACCGACATAAACACCTTAAGCAGAAGTAACAAGGTCCTTCTTGAGGGTACCCATGAATGCACGCTTCTCCTCGGGTGTCTGGAAAGCACCGTGGCCGAACTTGGAGGAGGTATCGATCCACTTGAGCTCGACCTTCTCGGTGGCTCTCCGGCTGGTCTGGGGGTAAAGGGTCTTGCGCAGAGTCATAACACGCTTCTTGACACCGGGAACGGAGCCCTTGACCATGACATAGTCGTTCTTGACCTCACCATAGCGGACGAAACCACCCATGCTATAAAGAGATTTCATTAGCGATATTGTTCAGTCGAGCAGTCCAGTTGATTTGGTACTTACGGAGTAATCTGCTTCTTGGAGATATCGAACTCGGTGGAGGCGTTACCCTCGTCAGAGCCCTTGCCAATGCGGAAGACCTTGTGGTTGCAAGAGGTACGGTGGTGGTAACCCATCTGACCGGCACGGGCAACAGTCCACTGGACGTGGCTAGGATGCCAAGCACCGATACAAGCAACCTTACGCAGACCCTTGTGAGTCTTACGGGGAAGCTTCTTGGTGCCCCAACGGCTGGTGACACCCTGGAAACCGTGACCCTTGGTGACGGCAATGACATCGATCATCTCGTCCTTCTCGAAGATGCTGTCGATCTCAATGGGCTTCTCGAACAGGTTGCGGGCGAAGTCAACCTTGTCGGCAACGGAGCCACCGTTGACCTGGATCTCCATCAAGTGGGCCTTCTTCTGCTTGAGAGGGGTCTTGCGGATCTGGGTGTGGGCGAGGACACGGACGACAGTGCAGTACTTCTTGATGCGCTCAAGCTCACGGGTGACGGAGGCACCGCTCTCCTCAGCGTGCTTCTTGGCGTACTTGGTGAAGGCCTTCTTCTTGCTCTTGTACCAGTTCTTGTAGAAGCGGCGCTTGACCTCGTCGCTCAGGTGCTCAGCCCAGACGGTGGTGAGTGAGCGGAGACCACGGGGAGTCTCGATGTAACCGACAACACCGACAGCAACAAGCTATAACCAGTAAAGTGTAAGTGACTGTCCAGTTCTGTAACCAACCAAATCCAGGGGTCAATGGACATACAGGAGGAGTCTCGATGATGGTAACAGCCTCAACAATCTCCTTCTTGTGCATCTTGGCACCGGGTCTGTCAAGGTCACGGACGACGGTGGTCATACCGGCCTTGTAACCCATGGAGGCCGTCAGGTGGACGGGCTTCTTGGGGTCATCCTTGGGGAAGCTGTCGCACACTCAGCATACTGTCTCTTTTTTTGGTCTCGAGATTGAAAATTGTAGCGGCTAAACTAACCTCTTGACCTTTCCACGGTGTCTGGCAGCGCGCTTGCGCGGCAGGAAGGCAAGAGAGCCTGTGAGGACGTTGGTCAGTATATCGCACACACACAGAGCGCAGAAATTTCGACGCCATCGAAGGAGGAAAACGAGGTTGACGAACCGTGCCGAGGCGCTTCGTACTTCCGGTGACTCCTGAAAAAAATATGAAATCAGCGATGGGATTCTTTAACATTATAATTGATCTGTATTCGAGCGCAAAACTTACATCTTGACCCTGTTGTCGTTAGTCGTCGAAGTGGTGAGTGAGAGTGTCTATCTCTAAGTTTGCCGAAGGTCGTTATTTTGCACGGTTAACGAATGTGGGCTGACCTAAGCGAAGTCTTGGCGACACATTTCCTCTTGCGGATAAGCGACCCTGGCGTGACTAAGACACAGAAAACCCGCGCCTCGCTAGCGGCCTGAGGCACACATTTCTCTGGCCTTGTCCTCTTCTGGCATACTCCATACGGCTATGCCCAGGCACGAAACTAGTTACCTTACTCGTACAATGATATTCAATCACATTCCACTTATCTCAGCATTGTACAGCTTACCCAGCATCGTTTGAGATATTATGACTGAAGAGACTACCGTGGAGAGAAGAAATGTCGTAACATCAAATTTGACTTTTGAGTCAACTACCTGCAACTACTACAACATCGAAATTCCCACTTCTTTCAAGAATACAAGGCTGCGTCTACAACGAGTCAACACATCCCAACCAAATACGGAAAACAAAAGCGGTGCTCTGAAAAAGATATTGTCATTTCTGAAAGAAGAGTTTCTGAATCATGCACAGGGAAATTGAAAAGCAGTGGAGATGAGAGAAGATATCTGGACAAAGGGGGGCTCAAAAGGCGGGTACAAGAGAGGACGTAAACAAGAAATAGTTCCTCGTAGCTAGGACGCCGATGGCTTTCATAGAGTACAGACTTGAATGCGTAAGTAACAGCTAGCGTGAATGCCACCGGAAAGGAGAACCATAAAGAAGAAAGGAAAGGGGAATTTTGAAGGGTAAACGAGGGTACGAAAGATTGTTCATAATAGACATCTTCGGAGGCATGTTCGCTTGACAGCGCCATATTGCAATCATCAGATGGGCTACGTGGACAAGAGCTGATCATGTGTTTAGGCTGCAGACTCCTGTTTCGACTGGGAAGTCTGGGCGCCACTGCTCAGAACCCCGTTGCTGCTGCTGCTACCCGCAGCAGGACTGCCCTTAGCGGCAGTGCTGGTTCTCTTCTCGTCATCCCCATCGTCATCGTAGTTCTCATCAACGTCCATCTTACGCGCAGCAGGCTCATGGGCTGGAACCTGCTCACTACGAGCCGGTTCTTCCTTCACCTGCACTTGGGTTGGTGGAGCACCTGCTTGAGGCCCGTTGGAAGCTGGAGCAGGGCCCTCGTTCATGGGAGGCAGGCTCGAACCGGTCGCGTGTTGAGGCATGTGCTGAATGGATGGGAGGGTTGGAGGATGGTGCGCAGCCTCTGATGGATGGTAGCTCTCGTTCACGCGGCGCTGGTCCTCGCGTCGCGCCTCCGAGGAACCACGACGTTGCATCTCGCCAGGCGACGGCATGCGGTTCGGAGGGGTCACGCGGCGAGCGACCTGATCATCCAAGCGGACACGGGTTTCCTCATTGGCAACCTTCTTTGAAGGGCCCGACTCCCCTTCCCACTCCCGACCCCGCTTCATTGCCGAGGTTGGGCGATCTTCACGTTCTCGAGCAGCGGCTTCGGCAGCAGTGATCGCAGAAGCTGGAGCAGGGGCACCACCTGCGATGCCAGTGCTACTAGTCCCCTGAATTGGCACACTCGGGCCATGATGATACTGCTGGTGAGGGTAGGTAGAACCGGGCGATGATGGCCTCTCCTCACGGATGGGCCGGATCTCTGTCGGCGGTGTGAACGGGCGAGGGTATGGTGGCAGAGGTCCAGCAGAAGCAGGGGCACCGTTAGGCCCAGTTGGGCCTGTGGGGGGTGCAGCAGAAGTAGGAGCGGGTGGCAAGGGTCCGCGAGTAGCGGAGGCAAAAGGAGTAGTACCGGCGGGAGCTCGATCATGTGGCGGCGGCGGCGGGTTGGGTAGTTGGGGCAGTGCGTGTGCAGGCGCAAATGCACCTGGGCCCGCAACCGTGGTCTTCGGAGAACGAGCTGCTGGAGCACGAACACCATCAGGGAAGGCCCTGCCAGGCTCTTGGCGTGGGCTTGGTTGCTGAAGAGCCACCGGGCCCCGAACTTGGTCACGGTGGTCGAAACCGTTGGCTGGCTGGGGCTGCGCCTGATTCTGAGACTGCACCTCGTTGATGCCGCGATTCCAGTCGGCGATCTGCCTTGGAGGAGCGGGAGGCTGAGGAGGCGGGCCTCCAGTTGGAGCTGGTGCTCCCCACTGTGGGGCTGGAGGAGCGCCCACACCAGGAGCCTGGTAAGCCTGTGGATGAACGTCCTGAGGTTGAGGAGCAGGCGCAGGAGCACTGTTCTGGTTGGAGCCTGAGAGCTGGCTTTGCAGCAGCTGCAGACGAGCCTTGATGTGGACATTAGTAGGATCAAGATCGGCGGCGCGACCATAAGCGTCAAGAGCATCCGCGATCTGGTTGTTGCAGGACTCATACTACAAGAGCGGTGGTCAGCGACTTCGGTCTCCCGCGCGTTTTCTCCCCAAACAAACCCCCCGCAACTTGACTTACCAGAGTTCCCAGATCGTACCACACCTCGGAGATGTAAGGATTCAAGCGGATTGCACGAGAGTAAGCGTCCAATGCATCGCGATACTGGTTGATCTGATAGTACAAAACGCCAATCGAACACCAGAAAGTCGGATTGCGTCCATCACGGTAGACAGCCTGTTGATATGCTTCGTAGGCCTTCGGATACTTGGCTTGCGACATGTAGCAACGACCAAGAAGGTACCAGCTTTGTGCGTCGCTGTTGTCTAAAAAGAAGCAAGGCTTGTTAGCGCTTGCTCAGGGTCGAGGATATGAGCTAACAACTTACCTGCGCTAACAGATTTTTCAAGGTATTCAATGGCCTTTTCTTGACTTGCATAGCTGTTGCTTTGCTGATGGTAAAGCCAACCGAGTTGTTGAAGTACCTTTGCATGGTTGGGATCACGGTCTAGGACCCTCCTATAGGCTGCCTGGGCAGACTCAAACTGTGGTGTTGTCAGCTTATATATGAGCGGCCAAGTGAGATTATGAGACAACTTACGTCCTTCTGTTGCTCATGAACATGGCCAATCTGGAACCAGATATCTTCCTCTGTAAGAGGACGAGGAGGGTCGCTGACGATGTATTTGAAGCACTGAAATTGCGGTAAGCAAAGAGGCTACATATATAGAGGAGACCGATGAACGAACCTCTAAGCTCTGGTTGAACTTTTGTTGTTGTTTGTATATGATGCCGAGTCTGAAGTAGATTTCATTGGCCTTCTCAAAGTCGGGAGCCATCCGCATGACTTGAGAGAAAGCCTCCTCGGCATGGTCAAGGGAGCCATAGCGATCATATAAGATACCAATTCCGTACCAGAGTTTGGGTTCCTGTCATAAAAATTGCGGTTAGCCTTTTAAAGCGAAAGAGTGTAGGAGAAGATACGAACCTTGGGATCACGCAGGTGATAAAGCGCCTGCTGGTAAGAAGTATAGGCTTCTTGCAGATTATCCATCATTAGATGGCAATGACCTGCAATGTTTGTCAGTCACCGTGATGAGACAGTAGACAAACCAAGGTCTGGGAGCGTCTCCTAATTACMTAAACTACCCCAGGTTTCTCCACTGGTCGGGTCTAATTTGAGAATGTTCTGAAGGTACTCGATCGCCTTCGGAAATTGTTCCTTGGTCCGGAGGATGCACGATATGGCGTTCATAGCAGGGATTGACCATTGGTTATGTCGAAGCGCTTGCTCATAAGCGTTCATAGCACCATCAAGATCGCCCATCAATTCAGTAAGACTACCTGTTATTGCGCAAAGAAGACAAGTCAGCCAAACAGGGTTCGGAATAGAGGCGGAGCACCTTCTAACGGCGACGATGACGAGTAACGTACCAATTTGAAGCCAGACCTGCTCATTAAGCGCTGCGATTTTCTGAGCAGTAGTCAGAGGAGGACCCTTCTGACCTTGAGACTGCAGCGGCATATGACCATTGACTTGCGGGTGAGCTGCAAGATGACCATGGTGGGGAGCTACGCCCCCAGTAGGCGACGGTTGAGTGTGGGCCATTCTGCTGGCAAAGAGATTATTCGGAATCGCAACAGAAAGAGACTAAGACACTTCTGTGACTTTGTATCCCATAAACCTTGCGACACGATGATGCAATCAATGTTCGTGTTACTGGAACGTTGCACAGCTGGCGATTTTGGTGCGATTGCGATGATCTGCGAAGTAAATGTGTCCTCTATCGGAAGACTTGCAAACTATCTCGCCAACGGCTGCGAAGAACCTCGATTTGAGGAATCCGGATGATGGAAATGACAGTTTCTCGGTTGAACAATGCGACCGATTGAAGGAAGAAGTCCCGTCACGATCCTCGAAGAGAAAATGAAGATTTGTCAGAGAACTCCAATGATAAAGAGCTGCCGTACTAGAGCGCTAACAGCCGCAGACAACGAGGAGAGTTGAGATGCGGCTGAGCGGCGCCAATGAGGCGAGAAGCAACGGTGCCACGGCAAAGCACGAGAAGAAAGGGAGAATTGAAGTGCGAAACTGAACAGGATGAAGTAGATGAGAATGGGATAGAGTCAGGTGAGTGGGGAAAGGGATGATGCGCAGACAAAAAAAGGCCAAAAACCAAGCAAGAGGCGGGAGCAATAAGCAGAAGGGAGAAGAGAAGAAGAGAGAGAAGAGAGGAGAGGAAAGAGGGAAAGGCCGAGGGGCTGGTGGTAAGAGGGTGAATTCTGCCAAGTCGCGCTAGTGGTTGTGTAGCTCTCGAGCAGTAGGAAGCAAAGAAAGCACAGAAAAAGGCGAGATGGCGGTCGTCCGGCGCCAAGCCAAAGACAGCAGCTTGACGTCCAGGAACGGCCTAGCTCGGTGGGGACAATCTGGAGTCGTGTCTGCGGGTATTTACAGTTAATATTTTCCGTGCGCCGGAAGTTGGAACGCTTGTGGTGAAAACGGTGCAGTCCTTCCAGGCTCCCAGCGCCTGCCTCCCGCCCTATTTTTACCAGTATACAATATCCGATAAAATAGGATAAATAGTAGGATAGAATATTGTTACTGGTAAATATTTTTATAGCCCCTGACGATATCTCAGAGTAACTTATGAGTTTTTGACTGATGGCGTCACCATTCTCAAGCTTTATTAAGAATTAAGCCTACAGCGTCCGGCTACTCAAAAATGGAGCGGATTCTCTTTCGTTTTTATACGAGGATATCCATAAATAAATCCGGTTATTCTTGGACTTATGGCTCTCTTTCCCTCTAGAACAGAAACTAAAGGTCAAAATACTAGGGCTGCCTTTCTGCAGTGTGCATGTCCGACTGCCCGTCAGAGTTGACAGATAGGAGGCTTAGTTAGTACCGGGTTGGCAAGCGGGGCTCAGCCAGTAACACAACTAATAATAGGGTAAGCTACTCCGTACGATCCCTGTACTAAGTAATAGCAGGCTAGTAGGAACTTAGCAAGTTACATAGTGACTGACCCTGAGCGCGATTCTAAAATCTGAAACAGTCGATTGAGAGGGGAATCCATTATGAGTGGTCTTAAAGACCTAGACCGTCTTGAGCGCTGGCAAAGGCATGAGGAGAGTGGGAAGTGCGATCATCAAGTAACAAAATTACTAGTTTAACAGCCAAGCTACTCCGTAGTAAGGAAGCAGAAATTTTGGAGTACATCGTAAGATTAATTTATGGATTTGTGGATATTATTCGACCTTGGAGTGTTACGGAGTCCCGGAGTCAACCTTCGAAGGCATGTCACTGATTTGGCGACTGCAAGCGCCAGAATCAGCGACGCACTGCCGTGATGTGGAAGGTCTAGCACGAACCCCCGGTTGTGACTCGCCGAGGGACTGCTGGTGGACCATGGAAGAGGGATCCACTATCTCTTCCCCGTGCCATGAAATCAGTTAGTGTACTAATTTAATTGAGTTTGCCATTTTTTTATTTTTTTAATTTTTCCCTTCTTAATTTTAAATTAAAAATTCCTAGTGCGTCATTATTACGGAGCCGCCCATGCTCTTTGGTTGGGGGGCGGTGGGACCCGAACCCCGTAAATGACTGGCGAATGGTCATAAGCTCAATAGCCTAAGCTCCCGGGCAGCCCCTAGTCAGGCATGCGGCGTATCTACGGAGTAGTGGTAAATAGTCCACTCCTTGACCACCTGCACAATGTTGCAGACTAGGCTTGCACCCGCCCCGTCGCCCCTCCATCAATAAAAAAAAATTATTAATGGTAATAATAATCCAAAAAGGAAAAGGTTAAAAAAAGGAAAAGAAAATACTTTACCTTATGACTATGAGGCTGGGTATGCAGACTTAATAAATTTATGTATTTAACAAGTTGCAGAGATCTCTGTACTACAACAGCCAAGGATGATGATCCAGTCACATCCTCCATACCTAGTGCCTGGTACCTTACCCATAGCCTATTGAGCCGAGTCACAACTCGAGTCGCGTCTCCCGCAAACCTACACTGGTCAGGCGCATATTCCTGGTCGATAACAATCATGATCAATCATTATCCAGTTTGGCCGTCCTTACTTTATTTTCTACGAGGAGGACTCACAAGGTGAGAGGAGTCCGTTTTTGACATCTGTCAGGCAGATCCGCGTGCAAATGTTCCTCGGTAGCTGCAGGTATGAAGGGAAAGGGGTAGAGTAGTATCTGGCTCCAGTGTCCCATTTCGAAACAGGACACATTTAATATTTCCAATTCACCAAAATCATTCGAGGAAAGCAGTTCCTGGAGCCCATTAGTTCATTATTATACTTTCCAGGCGATCCGAAGACGGTGCTTTCCCAATCTCCATTCCCCTTTTGCCCCTCCCGTCATTCATTGTCACCTAGCTTGCTGCAGCTCCACAGCAACCACTTGCCTGGAAGAACCATCAGCACCAGCCACTACGCAGCCCACAGTCATCCCAGCCACATGCCTGATGCACTTGTCGCAGATGTGCTTCCTAGATCACTTACGTCCACACATTCCAGGTTGTGGAGCCATTCCCGGCCGAAATTCTGATCAGTCGCCGGCTTCTCTTGGAGCCTTCCTAGGCCCTCCATTTCTTGATGCAGGATACATCACTTGGCTCGACCACCAATCTCCGATCGTTATTTACTCATCTTTCGGCTTTTCCCTCCCCTCCCCAACGTACGTACTCTATTTGACCCTCAGTGTTTATGGATAGACAATAGTGATAAAAGTGTCAGCTCTCCTACAGTAAAAATATACTACTTGCACAGCCATGCATAGACCGCTGTTTCTCTTTCTTCAAGTCAGTTTGAAGTTGAAAAGTCACTCTTGATATTCCAGTAGAGACTTTCGTCTTTTCAACAATTGAATGGCTGCCTTGGCCCGAACGGAGTACGGAATGTTTTCAATAATTCTGCTCTAAAAACCAAGGCAGCTGCCCTTGCTGGCGGAGAATTGCCCAAAAGCAATATAGCCATAATACGAGCAAGGGATCGAGAAACAACCACGATGATCATTCTGCGGCCACTCCCATGTCCATAACTCCATAGTTCATCCCTGAGACTGACATGACGACATTCAATTGCGGTAGTTCCAGACTTTGAGCTGTCATCACAGACGTGCCACACACAGCACTGCAAAGTCAAGGATCCATGAGAATACGAGGGAACTAAGTACGTACTGGTGGGCAGGGATATTACTCTGTACATGACTCTTTCAAGCACTTAACCAGCACATGTCTGATCTGAAACATGGCTTCCAGATCAATAATATCAAGGCGTCAACATAAACAATGTGTGCATGGCATGTGGATACTGCGCATAGTTATGATATAATACCCCTGGTGTGACAGTCCAAATCTCCATTCTGCTTTCTTCTGTAGAAGGCAAGGCTCTATCCTACCTTAGCTTCTCCAAAGCTTACCTATGTAGGAGACCAAGTAGGAGACCAAAGAGCAATAATACCGATGCGGGAAATCTATAACATAATGATGCTCATTTGCGTCGATAGCCTTATGTTACTAGTTGTCAATAACTCAACGTACTTTAGCCACCACCTTAACACAAGGAGTAAGTACGGAGTAGCAGCAAGATAATAAGGTCTGAAATAAATCGATTGACGAATAATGTCGATCCAAGGAAAGCCAACAACGGAGGGGGAAAGGAGGAGGAAAAGAATAAAGACAGATCCAGTTGTCAATATGATCCCTGTCCAGTTCTACAGGTTACACGGCAGGATGCAGTGTGCAGATTGACTCGCTAGGTCTTTTTCCTTTTTCCCACTTTTTAGATACTTTTTCAGCATGCAGACATCGCACAATCAGGAAATCTAAGGCTAATACTCTTGTTGTTGATTGGATAGCCGCAACCCGATGGACGGAAAGAATCTTGCCTAGAGAGCGCCATCAATGTGCCACAGTGCCATACAGCGCGCCCACAGTCAACTAGTCCGGTATTTCTTGATTAATATTTTGCCTAGGTACCAACATCGGAGTAACAAGTACGCGGGTGATAACTCTAGGTAGGGTCTAACTAGAAGTAACTAGTCCTCTGTAATAATAATTTGATTCCTGGGCTTGAGTAGCACAGCGCATGGGCCAGGCGTACTTTTACTGCCTGCGCCTTGCGAGACCACCTTGCATGGCGGCATCGGATTCGGATGTGGTCTAGGCAACTGACATCCTGCATCATGGCGTTTACTTTTTAAACGTTTTTAATCATTATTAACAGCCCTTAGTAGAGAGGTACCCCATATGTCATGAGACACTGGTGTATATAATTGTGTGATGCCAGACTCAATTTCTTTAGCTTGTTGCAGTGATCAGCCTCACAATCACTGTGATATATTTCAATACTTATGGAGGTACAACGTAAACCAATGAATTATATGGTCACTTTTCTTGCTATGTGCATAGTCAAGTCAGTCATTTAAAGCCTTGTAATGTTTCTGCCATGCACAGCTTTATCTATATTTCTCAGATCTCATCAGAGGTATCTGAAATGTATTCAAAATGGCACCATGCAGTTATCTAAGTACCTCAAAACCAAGCTGATTAAGAAAAGGCAATGTCTTGACTCAAGCAGAGATACTCATGG